TGAAGGTCTGTAGTTTGTCCGAAGTGCCCTTAGTAACGCGCCAAGTCTCTGATCCATAAAGCAGCACTGACTTCATATTGAAGTTGAAAATCCGGATCTTATTTTTCATGCTGAGGAGTGCTGTTCATCTCCACACAGACTTGGGAGTAATGAAAGCTTGCCTTCCTTTCCCGATCCTTAGTTTGATATCCTCATCAGTTCCGTCTGCCTGTAGTTGAAACTATGCTTCCCAGATAGGTAGGTAGGTAAAAGAGATTGCTTCTTTCAAATTTCTCCTATTTATGCTGATTGCTATCTGTTATTGTTGTTAGTGTTGGCCAGCAATCTTCATCACCTCTGTTTTCTCTATGTTCACCTGAAGTCCAATCTTCTCTGAATGCTTCTTCTGCCAACTTGTTGCTTTTCACTTGCATATCTTCCAGTTTGTGGGAAATCAGACATATATCATCGGTGAAGTCCAGATCCTCCAAGTTTTTGATGTGGGTCGATTTTATGCCTGTTTCCTCATTGCCCGCTGTTTGTCACATTATCCAATTTGCTGCAATCAGGAAAATCATTGGCGATAGTAGGCAGCCTTGTTTTACTCCTGTCCTCACTTCGAAGGGTTCCGTAAGTTTCCCGTTGTGGATTACTTGGCATGAAGCATTGTCGTACAGCTTTTTGGATGAGATGTATAATTGTCGGTGGCACCCCGTAGTAGCGAAGTAGTTGCCAAAGCACCTCTCAATCGATGCTGTCGAAGGCCTTTTCAAAGTCAATGAAGTTTAGATAGACAGCTTACTGACACTTCAAGCTCTGTTCAATGATAATCCTCAGTGTTGCGATTTGGTTGATGCTTATGTCATGGATACTGTTTTAAATAAACAAAGGCATACTAAGACAATAATAACAAGATACGAGACAATTAATTTTTGTGGTACACAATCAAAATATTTTAGGATACAATTTATTTAATAAAACATATATCATAGCAACAGATACAATCACATAAGGTTTAAATGCTGTAGGTTAAAAAATAGTGAACAGCGTATAACATCTGCTATGGAAACGAAGTAAAAATGCACATTTTGTAGTGGAAAAAATAATTTGTTTTTCCTTCTGCAATTATATCAAGAAATATGATAGAAATCTATGATATGATTTGAAAAATTAATAGAGGTGTTCAATTATTTATAAATTTCATAAGTAATATGCAAAGTTTGATAACATTTAGAATGTAGATGTCGTAAAATATACAAATGTATAAATGGGCTTTTTTTTATTCCTTTACGTCCCCAGTGGAACATAGGGCTTAAGCTAGAGGCTTGAAGTCTCGGTCGCAGTGGTGTTTGTTTTTACGAGATAGGGTTGCTGGCCTCATGCTCAACCTTCCCTCTTTACCAGTCTTACTACTGGCTTAGTGAGGTAAAGGAGTGCGTCGGCCGGGGATCGAACCCCGGGCCATGTACATAGTCAACGAGCGTCCTAACCGCTGTGCCACCGACGCAGACATGGGCTTGGTAGTGATTAATTAATTGTCTGGATGAATATGCCTGTAGGTCTTTCAAAATCTACAATACTGAGGCGTAATTAAAACAGCCATTCATTTTTTTCTACACATCATGCAGTTCTCAGCAAAGAATCGGCTTTAAACCTCTTAAACTGTTCATTATAGCCAAATAAAGGAAGCACAGTAATATTGTTCATAAATGCGAATTATGTAAATATACGGACAACAGTACATTCAAAAGTTTATATTTTACGACTATATACAGTCTCACTTACGTCTTATTACCCAAGGTTTTTGAACTAGGGGAAGGACAGTACATGTTCTGCTTGCGAAATGCAGTTACAATGTAATAATGGAGAAGATTTGTAGCTCAGATGGATGATTTCGATTTAATGATGTTTTCTCTGAGCTGGTTGATTTAATTGCAAACCTTTCGTTATCCTTCTAGATAACATCTCCAGCGCAGGTTTTAGTATGGGATTAATTTATTTGAATTCCCCATGGATGATATAATTTTTTATCCTGACAACCATTGTCGAGACTGGTTATTAATTTACACGTTTCTAGTGGTCATCAGTCAAAATGGGAGTCCGTTTCAAGTTCGAATCAAAGAGCATAAATTAGCTTTGAAAAGGCACTACATATATTCGTTCATATCAATGCATGTATCTGATAACGGACACGGGTTTGATTGGGATAATGTAGACATTTTATACAGAATTCAGATAAGTTCATTTCATACTATAGCCTGTGCTGAAGATGCTTAGAAGGACAATGAAAGCTTCGCAACTAAATCAATCATCTCAGAGAACACAACGAAATCAGTAGCAATTATAATGTCCATTTCAGGCTCATACTCTGGCGGGAAAATTAGAATGTTTGTTTGGTACTTACCTAATGAGCCTTCTGTCATTCTTATATACCTATGATCACACAAGAAGTGAACAAAGTAGTGAGAAACATTAGTTTAATGCTGTAGCGATTCTTTCACTGCTATCGATTTGTGACAACACTAACACTGAAAATACACGGTGCTTCATAAAATGAAACTTGAGGTATTCAAATATGTGCGTGAAAAAATTTATAGAGACTTTTTCTTAATAAGGAAATGACAAGTAAAGCGAAACATTTAGATCACAGTGCATACACCTTCAGTAGCTTAAATTTCATTCTGCTTTTCATATTTTATAATGTCCCTATTCTTCCACACTTGGCACATTTAGATTACTGATTATTATTATTACTATTGTTTCCTTTAATTCCTAGAGGAACATAGGGCTGCAGCCATGCGTTTCCATTGCGTTCGGTTCTCTGCTAGAATCTTTATCTGGCTCCATGTCTGCCCACACATCTTCATCTCCCCTTCACATGACCTCCTCCAAGTCACCCTCACGCTGACGATCAACTCGCCGCTTCCCTTTCAGGTTCCACTCGAGCGATGGCTTGTCCAGTGATGTCACTTGATGGATCCCTCATAGCATGGCCAATCCATATCCATTTTCTTCTGCATATTTGTTTCACAATTGGTTCCTGCCGGGTTGGTTCGCTCCCAGAGATGCCTATTGCTGATCTTTTCTGGCCGGCCATCTGATCTTGAGTATTGAGTGAAGACAACTGTTAATGAAGGTCTGTAGTTTGTTTGAGATGCTCTTTATGACGCGATGGCCAAGTTTCTGATCCGTATAGTAGCAGTGACTTCACGTTGAAGTTGAAAATCCGGATCTTATTTTTCATGCTGAGAAGTGATGTTGATCTCCACACAGACTTGAGAGAAATGAAAGCTTGCCTTTCTTTCCCAATCATTGCTTTGATATCCTCGTCAGTTCCGCCTGTAGTTGAAACGAGGCTTCCCAGGTAGGTAAAAGAGGTTGTTTCTTTCAGGTTCCTCCCATTTATACTGATTGTTGTCTGTTGTTGTTGATTACTTTAGTTAATAAGAAAATACTACAACCAGCAACCTAATCAAAGTCAAACCACTCAAAGTGTATCATGAAATGTATTTGTAAGTATCATGAAATGTGCACTAGTGAATTATTTTTCAAAAGAAGAGTAGAAATCTAAGCCATTGATGTAATTTGCATCCTGTGCTCCATTATTTACACTACGTATTTAGTTCCTCTTGTTTTGAGGATGAGAAACAGAACATATTGTATGACTTGTTTGAAGAGTCACACGCATGCTGCATCCATTGAGTCACTGAATCAGTTGTTGACCTGCAGAATGGCATGTGAAGTAATCAGGCACAAGTTCAATGAAGAGTGCAAAGCAACTGATTTCCCCACCAATTTTCTAAACTTTTTTGATGAGGTAAGCTTCAAATCATAACGAAGTCTCAAAATGAGCAGACAGATTAATTTTGTCCTTAAAATCAGATATTGCTAAGTTTGACGAATTGATCGACAACTTGTGTCGGATAAATCTGAACAATTTCATCCAAGAAGTTTTGATTAAATCCCCTAAGAGGTTTGAGGAGACTCTCCAGAAGTCTTAGGTTACAAATCGGCTGAAACAGGATTTTCTTAGTATTCCTGAATGATCTATTTGAAATCTGACTGTGAAAAATGCCTGTTGTTGTTGTTGGTCGGTTGTCTTCAACATCTCCATCTTCTCTTTGTTCACTTGAAATCCCGTCTTTGCTGCTTCCTCTTCCAACTTGTCGGTTTTCGCTTTCGAGTTCGTGCATCACTAGAAAAACGTCGTAAGCGAAATCAAGATTCTCTAGAGGCTTCTTATTGCTCAAACGTATTCTTATCATCATACTCCCCAAATTGTGTCGTATAATACCGTTAACCACAATTAGGGATATAATCGGCTGTTTGGCCTACTCCTATTCTCTCTTATCTGACCAACTGATGTTAACTCATGCAGTCAATTTCGAATCACTTCTAAATACTTACTTGTAAACCATTAGAAAGTCTGTTGTTCCTGTTTATTGTTAGTAAATTAGTGTGTTTGCTGTTGAATCAATCAGAAATCTTCCTAAAACTTCTTCCATACTTGTGATGAATAACTACCTTCTTTTCTTGTTACTAGTAACTGATTATGCCATCATATTCCACCCATTGTTATTTCGTTAAACTTCAGTCGTTACATAAGATTTTTTTCCTTCACGTTCCCCATTGGAACATAGGGCTTTAAGCTAGAGGCTTGAAGTTTCTGTAGCAGTGTTTATTTTACAGGATAGGGTTGCTAGCCTCATGCCCAACCTTTCCTCTTCACCGGCATTATTTCTGGCTCACCAAGGTAAAGGAGTGTGTCGGCCGGGGATCGAACCCTGGACCATGCGCATAGTCGGCGAGCGTCCTAACCTCTATGCCACCGACTCACTCATATCAGACTTCAGTTGAATTCAATAAAGAAATGTAGGCTCATATTCTGTTAGTCCAATGTATATTTCAGGATGTCTGCAGTTAAACAGAAGACTCAAAATGAAATGTAAACATTTTATATTGTACATTTTACTCTTTTTCCTCTCAAGACTATTATTTAATTTTTTAATTATATCAGGTTAATGCATAGTGTCATTCAGAACAGAGATGCATCTCAAGAAAAAAATTCAACTACTAGAAGGCCAAATGGGTACATGGTTATTTTCCAACTAGTTTAGCCTCAAAGATAAGGAAAAAATGATACAGTTGCGTTTTGAACACATGCGTGACAAAAATTGAAGCATATAACTTTACAGTGAAGGAAGTGATACTTCAATGTGGTCAGCTCATAGTATTGGGAATTAAACGTGAAGTTACTTTGATGACCGTTTTCTTCAGTCATTTCATGCTCATTGATGAACACTAACGGTTCATTTTTTACCCCATAATGTCTTTAAATTTACTGTGTAATTTTCTTGTCACAGTTATGTAGCTATTTCGTTATCAAAAAACGCTAGTATCATTGGAATATTTGACATTGATTTCTCCAATATCAGAATCAACTTAGGACTTAGTCATCCTTATTCATCAGTAGTCTCATCTTATGATTTAAGCAGCTATTGATGGGTGGTTCAATTTGGTTTGTCCACTTGCATGGTTTTGTTTTCTCTTTTGTCTATGTATTGGTTGGTGCTTACATCGTTTTATACTGTTTGTGACTTTCAGACATTGTTTGACTTGTATATAAGGTGCTTTATTCGTCTTCTGTTTAGTCTCCTATTACATGTCTGCTGTTTGATAGGGAGAATCTAGTACAGAATGCTCACCAGCAACGTAAAAGGTCTGGGTTCGACCCCCGGTCGGTGCACCCCTAAACCATAAAGAACACTACTAATAGTTAAACTATAACGCCTGAAGCTTTTTAAATGGATTTTTATGCAAAGTGTTCACAACGCGTCTGTGTAGATTCCGACCCAGTCGACTTAACCTCTCTTCATATGAGAGGGTTGAGAAACCCTTTATTAGCTTAGTTCCTACTCTTTGCACTCTTTCTAATAAGTCTATTTCGTATTTGAAACACGGGCTCGCTGCCTGGATCCCATATTCCAAATGAGGTCTGATATAAGTCGGATATAATATACGAAATATTTCAGCGTCAAAATTCGCAAAAGCTTTGCGTATGGCCCATAATATTCGAAAACCCTTAGTGGCTGCAGCTCTACAGTTTGTTGCTGTTTTCAAGTCATGCTGCACAACCACTCCCAAGTCCTTGTACTCAGTGACCACTGGAAGAGTAATGCCATTCATTGAGTAATTGTGCACGTGACTATAGGCCATTCAAATTTCATTCACTCAATTCTAATAAGCTGACAGGCACACATACAAAAGAAGATGGACAAGTGATTTCCTGGGACTATCCTTTTCAAGGTTTCTAAGGCTAATGAAGTTTCGCTGGTATTTGAACTCATGTAAGATCTTCGGTTTCAGAAACATAAGTAAATTAGTAGTAAAGGAAGGTAGAGGTACACAGTGGTGCTTTTCTGCAGGTGTAGATAACATAAATAATCTAGTTATCGTTTCTACTTTAGTTAATAGTGACCATTTCACTCAAAATTAGACCTTGAAATTAAGTTTAGATGCAACCCCATGCTCACTTTAAAGTTTGTCATGTGTATATCGTATCTATTAAGGAGTGAGCTTTAGCTGTGGAGTGATCGGTCAGTAGTGACTCATCCATTGATGATGCCTGGAATAAATTCAACAAAACACTAGGGATGGTCACATCAAAGTTCACTGAAACGAGGATTCCTAGTGAGCCCAAAAATCATCTCTATGGATTAATAGACAAGCCGTAACACTCCTTCAGAAGAGGGAAATGTTGTAATTTCTCTCTATCTCCATTAGGACTCTTAATTTCTTCCTACACTACTATGAAAGCAGAAATTAGTACAGGGACTTGATTTATCAATACACGGAGGGATATGAATCAAAGACAGTTTAGAAATTACAAACGTGTTTGAAGACTCTCCTGTAATGCTAATACAGAAGAACTGCAAATAATACCGTCTTCCCAAATCTTATACCTGATGAAAGCGCTACAAGCATGTCATGCGACAATTTGAAAAATATTGTAAGTCTGTGAAGCTACTTTAGCAAGGTGTTGTCTGAGAGTGGTAATGCAAAGATAGTAGATTTTCCATAATAAGATCTTGAAATAAGATTTCTACGCAATGAGTGAAATATTACTCGTACTAGACTGGATGATGGATGACACTCTGTCGGTAATGCACAACAGGTCACTGGGCCAGTCCAAATCCCTATAAAACCAGAAAGACATTATTGTCAGTTTAAGTTTTAAAAGCAGCATTAAAAATTTCTTTTGGAACTATCCTCCCGTAAGTCTAACCAGTACTTCTGACTAATAGCTGGTGAAAACCACCCGTAATGTTGTTAGTCAACATTTTTAGGTAATAATTTTTTCCCTGAGGGACAGCACCATTTTAGAACAAATCATTCTTGCTGGAGCAAACTTCTCTTGAAGTGGGAATGTTGAACTATAGCAACTGAAGATTATATTCCAGTAAATTCTGTATTCGATGACTTTACCAAAGGCCTTTATTTGGATTCTTATTCTTGTTTTCTGGGAATGTTAGAAGGTTTCTGGGATCAATAATTAGCGAATGTATTTAGACCTGCAAGCTGATTATTGTAAACATAGGTACTTGGAGGGTCAGGTGGGCGGTTATAGTTAGTTATTAGAATTGAGTGAATGAAATTTGAATGGCCTATAGTCACGTGCACAATTACTCAATGAATGGCATTACTCTTCCAGTGGTCACTGAGTACAAGGACTTGGGAGTGGTTGTGCAGCATGACTTGAAAACAGCAACAAACTGTAGAGCTGCAGCCACTAAGGGTTTTCGAATATTATGGGCCATACGCAAAGCTTTTGCGAATTTTGACGCTGAAATATTTCGTATATTATATCCGACTTATATCAGACCTCATTTGGAATATGGGATCCAGGCAGCGAGCCCGTGTTTCAAATACGAAATAGACTTATTAGAAAGAGTGCAAAGAGTAGGAACTAAGCTAATAAAGGGTTTCTCAACCCTCTCATATGAAGAGAGGTTAAGTCGACTGGGTTTATTTCCACTGTCATACAGACGACTTAGGGGTGACCTAATACTAGCATACCGTATCCTAAGAAATGATTTTGGAGCAAATTTATCTAATTTATTTCTTCCTTCTAGTACCAACCAACTGCGAGGACATCACCTCAAGGTTCAAAAACCACGGTCGAATCGTCTGCGTTTGGAGATCCGTTTTTCGCATCGGATTGTGAACCATTGGAACTCCCTACCGGAACACGTCGTATCAGCGCCATCCGTTGATTCATTCAAAGCGAGATTGGACCTCCTGTGTGTAACAAATTGAAAGGATTAACACAGGCATATACTCTACTATCCTAAATAAATTGTAAACTGTAAACTATTTAGATACGAAAAATACTTTTCAGCGTAAACCACTGCTGTTTATGAAGCTAATTATGAGTTAATAGGTAATTATGAATATATTTTAATGTCATCATTACAGTAATTTTCATGTCCCAACTCACTGATCACTACTATGAACACTTTTGTTCAGTATTATTTCTGCCATCTCCGTTGTCAAAGATTATCACTAGCATACCGTTACCGATAGCTTCTCCTACAACATGAAGGATAAGGCTACATATAGAAGTAACTCAATCAGTTTTATTGGCTGAAACGAATGTTTCTGGAGGTCTCAACATATCAAGTAAGTCGTCTGAATAGTGTTTAGACTAGAAGAAGTTATCAACATAGTGTAAGTCATGTAATGTATACTGGAGGAATGGGTGTAAAGTCATACTGATGGCGGGTAGGGATATCACAGCAGTTAAGCGTTTCTCTTGTATAACCAGAAAGGTAGATATATTGCATCCCCGTGCTAGGAAAAAAGGTTAGAACTGGTCGAGTCTTTGGCATTTCGCATAGATACAGTTTCAAAAATCACTTCAAACAGACTGTATGTATTACAGGTCTCAAGAAGTACTTCCCTGAGCTTTGTGGCGACTCAGCATAAATAATCTTCCTGTTTCAATCCCTTCTGTTTGCCGACTATCCAAATGGTGCCTTAGAAATATCTTATATGGTGTAGCCTTGGATTCCTTTATGGTTTGATTACATAAATTAGTTCGGGTCGTTCACGCTATCACTCCCTGTAAACTACCTGGCACTAATGTTGTTTAGTGACTTTCCTCTCGAGACATTATGTAGTATGTTCGTCTATTGATTAATTTATACTTATGAGGAACTGAATTTGACTAAAATTCTGAAGCTGTGTTTGTACAGTGTCTGGCCTTCTATATCTTTTTGATTTTATAACTTTCAGCCATCTCCAAGCTTTGAGCATATTGCATCGAAATTTGCTTCAAGTTTTGTCCACTTAAAGTACTGCCGATGATTCCCAAACTAGGATGAAACAGCTGTCCAGTATTCCAGTGCTGGTTTTCAATGGTTCTCTAACTGATATCAATCCGTGATCAACTCGTAAAACATAACTAACCCTTACAAACCAAACTATAGACACTTAAAGTTCGTTATGTTTGCGCTAGTTCTTATTTTCCCGATGAATTCCAGTCCAGGAGTTTGTGGACAGTTTCTGATTTCAACTGTATATTTTGAGCTGCATAAAAAGACTACGTACATCAAGCATTTGAAAACTTTTTGGTTTTTCATTATATTATCAAGACTTTGTTTTGTATTTAATCTTTGGTTTCATTATTCCTTGATTTTAAAGAGACCAAGAGACTTTCTCCCCAGAAAATAATTTTCTAACCAAAAATATTGTAATATCTACGAAGTTGCTGGGATCGTTCCTGAGTTCAATTGCATATGTGTGTTATTAAATTACTTCTGTGATAAAGAATCTTACATAGCAGGGCAGACAAGAGTACACTGGTAATTGATCATACATTGTTGGCTGTTTTCCTACAATCCTGTGTCGTCATAACGAACTTTGAGTCAGGAGATTTATAATAGAGGATGGTGATTCTACAGGAGAAAAGGAATGATAACATTTAATTTGTGATGATGAACTGACTTCAGGTTTGATCATGAGTTGAAATCAGTTAGAGAACCATTGGAAAACCTTCGGAGAGTATTAGACGGCTGTTTCATCCTAGTTTGGGACTCATCATCAGTACACCTCCCTGCTGAGTTTCGAATCCAAGACATGTCAGTTATAAGGCGATTGAGCTTGTAGAACATTCAGTCCCTGGGACCCGATCTAACGAGCAGTCCATGAGTCCTAAAATCGGCCAGTTTGCGGCATATCTAGCGCAACCATCAGCCAATGTCATAGTCGAGTGACTGTTCTCTTACTAGACTTGGTGAACCCCTGGGTTCGAGGCTTATTGGGTGCGTACTGACAAGGAGTCCCAAATTAGGACGAAACAGTTATCCAGTACATCCTGCTGGTTTTCCAATAGTTATCTAACTGATGTGGACTCGTGATCGAACCTGCAACCAATCAAATCCCTTCAAACAAACACTTGAAAACTGACTTCAATCCACTATTCTCTTACAGCGTAGGTTACTTCATAATCGAAGTTGAAATCACTTCAATTCCTGCAAATCGATAGTTTTAAATTAATGTAGTGCTCAGTAGTGACTGACTAGTAGATAAAGTTGCCTGAAGTTATATTGAGAAGTCCTGACCTGCAGAATCCATCAAGTTGGGTGTAAGGGCAGATACTCGTCGATAACATCGGCTGACGGTTGCGCTATACTTATCACGAAACGACAGAAGTTATAACTCATGGGTAGTTGGATTCCATCCTAGTGGCCAAATGTTCAAGAAGCTCTCTTTGTAACCTGAAGCTCCAGTATTCAATCATTCCTGGTTAGTGGATGGGTCATAGATGTGTACTGCGAAGGAGTCCCAAACAAGATTGAAACAGTTATCAAGTATTATTACTATATTTTTGTTTTCTTTAGTTCATAGAGGAACATACGGCTCCAGCCGAACGTCTCCATTGCGTTCGGTCCTCTGCCAACGTTTTCACCTGGCTCCACATTTGCCCACATGCTTTCATCTCCTCTTCACATGACCTCCTCCATGTCATTCTCGCACTGATCACGAACTCGCCTTTTCTCATTCGATCGGGTTTCACCTAAAAGATGGTCTGTCTAATGATGTCACTTGATGGTTTCCTCAGAGTATGGCCAATCCACCTCCATTTCTTTCCGCATATTTGTTGCACAATTGCTTCCTGCTGGGTTTTATACTCCCAGAGGTCCGTCTCTGTTGCTGATCTTTTCTGAACGGCCATCTGATCTTGAGTATTATTGAGCGACGGCAGCTGTTGATGAAGGTTTGTAGTTTGTTTGAAGTGCTCTTCATGACATGCCAAGTCTGTGATCCATACAGTAACACTGACTTCGCATTGGAGTTGAAAATCCGGATCTTATTTTCATTTTCATGCTGAGTAGTGCTGTTGACCCACACACAGACTTGAGAGTGATGAGAGCTTGCCTTACTTTCCCGACCCTCACTTTGATATCCTCATCAGTTCCGTCTGCATGTAGTTGAAACGATGCTTCCCAGGTAGGTAGGTAGATGAAGGAGGTTGCTTCTCTCAGATTTCTCCCATTTATGCTGACTTTTGTTGTTGCTGTTGGCCAGGAATCTTCATCACCACCTCTGTTTTCTCTATGTTCACCTGAAGTAATGATTTACCAAAAACCAAAACGATATTGAGTTATTAATTTGGCTAATATGATACATAATTCAAGCTGCTTATCTAAGTTCATCTACACTCTTGAATAATCATATACATAATTTATGAGTAACACGTTATATGGATGATTTTATGATATCATTGTCTGATCTCATAAATTTAGACAAGTGAACTAAAGTTACCGTTGTGCCTTATATATCGTGAATTAGTAGAAGTTAGAATTCATGAACTGGTCATTGCATTAGGTCGCAGTGGCTTAATGGTCCAAGAGCTCACTCACCTTGTAGCCGGAGGGTCCTGGGGGTGGGGTGGGTGACTACGGATGAAGAGATCTCGATTAAGACGAAACAGCTGTCCAGTACTCCTTGCTGGTTTACCAGTGCTTCTCTAAATGATGTCAACTAGTGATCGAACCTGTCACCATTCAAATCCCTGCAAACCAACACTTTATATTTTATATTGTTCAGTAGGTTGTGTCCATTTGAGATAACCCGAATTAATAAAAAATGAGTTCATATTATCCTGGTATTTCTTTGTCATTCTTGCTTTGTTTAGGTTTCTTAATGGAAAGAATTGTATGAAAATTTATGAAACTTTAATTCAACACTTTCTCTATTTAAGTATTGCTTTTTAAGGTTACAGGATATCATGATCATTTCAGCGTTCTCTAACCGATGTCAGCTTATGATGAAATCCTGTAACTCTCTCTCTCTATCTCTCTATTTAATTTCCAAGTATTTCAAAGGCATTTATCTGAATTATTATGTTTTCCCTGTTGATTTTGACTGAAATGCTCAGTCTCCGTGAAAAAATATTTCAGCTGTGAATACGAACGATTTGATTGACGATGTCTGAAGGTCAACATAGTAAGCTTAGCAGAATAGCAACTGACACATGTTGCACAAAACTTGACTCTTGCGGTTTAGTGGATAACACATCGGAGTTTGAAACAATTGAGTACTAAGCTCTAGTCTCATTGAGGATGTAGTCACCCACTGAAGATTCTCACACGACATCCAGTGAGGAGTTTTAAGTGGGACAAAATGCACATCTTGGATTCCAACAACCTAAATAGCATCATAATAAAAACTGTCTAGTTTTACATCAGAAATTACGTTTTTTATATTTCTAAACACT